GGCTTCAAAGGCTCCGGCGTGTGCGGCTGCCTCCCCTGGAAAGGCGCCCCGGCCGCCGCCGCGTCGGGGGCTGCGAATCTGTTTGTCCTTCTTCTCCGGTGCTTGGGTGCCCTGAATCCACGGTGGCTTTTTGGAGCCGGCCTCTGCTGGGGCTCGTGCTGGAAAAGGGGCTGTATCTCGCAGGGTCACAGTATGATTGAGGTTGGAAGGGACCTCTAGAGATCATCTAGTGCAACCCTGTGCTCCAGCAGGGACACCTAGAGCACAGGGCACAGGGCGGCATCCAGGTGGGTTTGGAAGATCCCCAGAGAAGGAGACTCCACAGCCTCTCTGGTATCTGGGCTCAGGCTGCCCCCAGCACGGGGCAAAGCGCAGCAGGGGGAGATAAGCCGGGAGCAAACGGTGTCACGGAGGGAGATAAGCAGCTCCCCGGAGCGCGGGAGGCCGTGCCCAGCCCCAGCGGAAAGGGCTGCCCCAGGGCCGGTGCTTGTGCAGGCCAGGGCCCTAACGCGCTCCGTGCCGCTGCGCGCTCAGCCGGCCTTCCCGACACTTCCCGTCTGGCACACACTGTTCCTAAGCAGCAGCGCGCTGGGGTTAAGGAAAGGAGAGGAGTTTCCATCGCTTGGGCATCCCCCGGTGCCTCAGCCCCAGGCCTGGGCTGAGCTGGTTGGAGGCGCCTCTCTCCATTCCCCATCCCCGGGGCTGCCGGTGGGGCCGTTCCAGCTGCCTGACCCAGGAGCGTGGGCTGCTTCGGATGGCAGCAGCTCCGAACGCAGGCGGGGAGGGGAAAATGGGAGGTGGCCTGGCACGCGCTCGGAAATGGGGACAGTGCCACGGAGCGGGAGGAGAGGTGGCGAGGACGCCGGCAGCACTGGGAACTCGCAGCACTGTTGGAGACACCCCCCACATGGCACCAGGACCCCTCAAGTCCTCCATGAGTCGCTGTGCAGGGCGCCGGCGGCCTTCGGCTGCCCAGCAGAGAAGCGACCTTCTGTTGAGGACCTCGTTGTGCTCCTCTTCCTCCTCGTGCGTCATGAGCCAGCTCGGAGGATCTCGGCCATGACCTAGAAAGGCTCCCCAGGGAGCCCTCCTCCCCCCTTGGGCACCGGCCTCCTGTCCTGGCCCTGTTTGGGCGCGGGAACGAGCGGATCCTCCCGGGCGCCGCGACCCGCTTGGGCGCCCGCCC